GCTCCAGCACTTCACTCCACACCTGAAAAGTGCTCGGTCCACCATCAACACGGACCACGCCACCCTACACCTCCTGCAGCACGCCCACTTCTCATCTCAACGTCTTCTACTATGGGCTTGCTAACTGCAGAAATTCAACCTGGAGACACGCTATACCAAGATTCCGACAACATCTTAGCCCATGACCTCTCCAGAGTTTATGAAGTAGAAGCGACTCCATCCATTACTCCACCACATAACGACGTACTTCTTCCAGAACCGCAGGCTTCGGGGGAGAGTTGTGACGATAATCTCCTTCAAGAGATTGAACCTGCTCTTCCCTCCACAAATACGTCGCAACAAATATATAAAACTACTATGGAAGAAATGTCCAACAACGACAACAACACCAGCAAGGTTTGCCAGAGAGCAAAACGTATGCAGCCAAGAACACCTACTCAGACTCAAACCGCCAAACTACCTGTCTTACTGCCGGCTCCCCGCTGATTGGTCGCCGGTCTGGCTGCAACTGCACTCGCCCACCATACTACTTGATGTCTGGGGCCGCCACGACCTCAGTCCTCAGAATATTCCGTGCTTTCACAGTTAACACTTCTCCCTGCTAGACGTAAGCTTTAGCGTACGTATACTGAGAGAGGTGATAGCTTAAAGCCAATATTCCAGCACCTTTCATATACTTGTATATCGCACTTCTTGTTATTTTGTCTTAACGTAACTTTTCATTGTGTCATTTAATTATTCTTATTATTTTGATTGATTGATTTTATTATACGAATTTGTTTGTCCATTTTATTCATGTTTTATTTCTTTAACGTAATTAAAATTTCATTGTTAAAGTTTACTTGTGTTTTGTGTGTCTTCTCCTTACCTTACCACAGACGAAGTTCCAGATTTTCTATTTTTTTTTAATACTATGTGACGAGGCCATACCCCTAGCTTTGAACAGCCGAACACCAACGCGTTACCGTCACAATATATATATATATATATATATATATATATATATATATATATATATATATATATATATATATATATATATAAATATATATATATATATATATATATATATATAATGTTGTACCTAGTAGCCAAACGTCGTACTCGGCCTAATATGCAAGGCTCGATTTGCCTAATAAACCAAGTTTTCCTGAATTTATATATTTTTCAATATTGTTTTTTCTTATGAAATGACAAAGCTATCCATTTCATTATGTATGAATATTATTTTGTGGGTTGGTGGTGTTGTCGTCGTTGATCCTTTTTTCTGGACAACCCAACCCATAACTCGGTAGAGTGCTTATACTTTACCAGGAGATCACCATGGGCGCTTCTGGCTCTTGAAGAGGGGCTCAACGTCACATGTTTAGGGGATGTAGCTGCAATACTTAGCCTCGTTGTCACGTGCACACACCCACTCGCGCCACTGTGACTCCCCACTCTCTGCTTATGTGATGTGATCTCCTCAATCCCCTTTGACTTATTAGTTTTCTGTTTTACCCTGTCCACAGCGGCGGTTCTTGGTTGTTTCTCTCTCCTTCTTTACTACATCCTGGGAAGCCTCACTAGGACAAGGGCAAACACCAGCAAATTTGAATACATTTACTGGGCAAAGCACATACAGAATGCATACACATATATAATAATAATGAATCCTACACTCTATACTATTTCAGTCAGGTTGCACTCCAACACCATCAGAACTCTATCATCAGCTTATCAAGTGGTATTCTATCTCCTGATTCACCACCTAATATTACCAACCTCCTCAAGTAGATCAAGTCTTATAATACAATGTTGCACTATCAGCATGAGAATATACATCTGTAAACATGTGCAAGGAAAATTGGCGTATGAATGCAATAACATAAATATCATTATAAATGTTCCTCGATATACAACAATGATCAATCGATCACCCTATCAGTCCTAGAACACATACAACTGTAGGTAATCCAGCCTACAACTGTAACTCTATACTTCAGTATAAACACTCCTCGGCACAAGAATGGCAAACAATCACTCACCTTTCACTGCGTCTTGCACGCTAATGACAACCAAACACTCTATCACCTCCCTACAAGTAATCATTTAGAACTTCCCTTCCACATCTGGAAGTTCACTAGCCTGATCTCTTCAGGTTCTTCCGGGTTTATCAACCAGGATCCTCTGCAGCACTTCTTGGCTGCTACACCATGAAGTCTTCCTTGAGCAACTACGGTACTTCACCACTTCTGCTAGGGTCCTCCACAGCTCTCCTGGCTGCTACACCATGAAGTTCCCTCGAGCAACTATGGTGCTTCACCACCTCTACAGAAGCACGTGACACTCCTCTTCACTGCTTCTCCTCACAGCTCGAGGTCCTCTCCTCCACTACCTTGGAGTCTCATCAACTACTCCCTCTGTGCTGGCTTCGAAGTTCTCAGCAACTTCTTCCCCAAAGACAAACCTAAACCCATTGACACTCCAATAAAAATGTTTCCTTATAAACACATAGACGAAATAATCCACACAAAATGTTTGCATCCAACATCTATCTGCTCACTACATACTGTGAGAGTGGTCTCCCCTGTTTGGGCTGGTCCATGCTCCACCTTGCCCGGCGGGCGGCTCCTCAACTCTGGGAGGGTCCTCCGCTGCCATTCAGTTGGCTTCGGCGGTCGACGGGAGAGGATGTGCTGCTCATTCCTCCAGCTGTCTCTCTCTCATCTCCGTTCTCTTATTTAGGCTTCCTGCCTTACCAAAACATGTCTAATTTATCAATAAACATTCGCTACTGTCACTGGGCACACGACCAACTACAAGTAATCACTATAAATTGGCTTAAATCGATCAGGGCGCTCCCACGGCCCACAATAATGTCTCTGGGCAGCTTAACAAACTCTCCTTGCCGTCCAGGACTTGAGACCTCACCTTCCCAGCTCGATTCCACAGCTGGAACGTCTGCACACTTCCTTTCTCTTGGAGATATATCACTAGGGGGTTCTTTTTTGACAGGAGCTCACACGGAGCGCAGCTTCCCCTCACGATGTCTGGTACTCAAGTGACTCAAGCTCCTCTCTAAGCGAGCCTCACACCTCCAGCAAATTATCCACATCTCCTAACCAGTCAGTTATCTATTTTCTTATTTACTGCCCATAATCTCAAATTGTTTATCAAATCCAACCAACTATTTTACATCTGTGTCTTCACTTCTATATTTCCTAGACCTTGTAGTCAGGTCAGGCTTGATAGAATAATTCTCAAAGGGGAGACTCGTTTTTCGGCTGCCTGGGATCATAACAATGAGTTCATTTTTTTTTTAATTTGAGTTAAAAATACCGTAGATATATGACCGAACCTAACCAACCCTACCTAACCTATCCTAACCTATCTTAACCTAACTTAAACTAACACAATTAAGTCAATAATTTATGTTCTTAATATAATAAAAAAATAATAATTCAAATAAACTAATTGGAAACAATTTATTGAAAAGAAGAAAATCTCTCGGCCTATTAGGTAAATCGGGCCTTGCATAGTAGCCCGAGAAGCGTGTTTTGGCTACTCGGTACGAAATATATATATGTCGTACCTAGTCTTATCCTGGCTTTCTTGTCTTATCCTCTGGTTGAAGGGTCTTTGGTTGCTGTTCCTTCAATGTATATATATATATATATATATATATATATATATATATATATATATAGAGAGAGAGAGAGAGAGAGAGAGGGAGAGGGAGAGGGAGAGGGAGAGGGAGTGAGAGAGAGAGAGGGAGAGAGAGTGAGAGAGAGAGAGAGCGAGAGAGAGGGAGAGAGAGAGGGAGAGGGAGAGGGAGAGAGAGTGAGAGAGTGAGAGAGAGAGTGAGAGAGAGAGAGAGAGAGAGAGAGAGAGAGAGAGAGAGAGAGAGAGGAGAGAGAGGAGAGAGAGAGAGGGAGAGAGGAGAGAGGAGAGAGAGAGAGAGAGGAGAGGGAGAGAGGAGAGAGAGAGAGAGAGAGAGAGAGAGGAAGAGAGAGAGAGAGGAGAGAGAGAGAGAGAGAGAGAGAGAGAGAGAGGAGAGAGAGAGAGAGAGAGAGAGAGGAGAGAGAGAGAGAGGGAGAGAGAGAGAGAGAGAGAGAGAGAGAGGGAGAGGAGAGAGGAGAGAGAGGGAGAGAGAGAGAGAGGGAGAAGGAGAGGGGAAGAGAGAGAGAGAGGGAGGGGAGAGAGAGGGGAGAGAGAGAGAGAGAGGAGAGGGAGGAGAGAGAGAGAGGGGAGAGAGAGAGAGAGAGGGAGAGAGAGAGAGAGGGAGAGAGAGAGGAGAGAGAGGAGAGAGAGAGGAAGGAGAGAGAGAGGAGAGAGAGAGAGAGAGAGAGAGAGGAGAGAGGAGAGGAGAGGGAGAGAGGGAGAGAGAGAGAGAGAGAGGGAGAGAGAGAGAGAGAGGAGAGAGAGAGAGGAGAGAGAGGAGAGAGAGGGGAGAGAGAGAGGGAGAGAGGAGAGAGAGAGGGAGAGAGAGAGAGAGGAGAGAGAGAGAGAGAGAGAGGAGGAGAGGAGAGAGGAGAGAGGAGAGAGAGAGGAGAGAGAGAGAGAGGAGAGAGAGAGAGAGAGAGGAGAGAGGGAGAGAGAGAGGGAGAGAGAGAGAGAGAGAGAGAGAGAGAGAGAGAGAGGGAGAGAGAGAGAGAGAGAGAGAGATATGCCACCTCTAGTAAAGTTGTGGGGACCCTAAGCCTTGGAGAAGCAAATAGGTAGAATTCCGAGAAAAATTTTCGTTTGTCTTTGAATTCTTGTATATTGTTTCTCCTACCAGCCTTATTTGATTGTGAACTTTATTGTAATGATTACATAATAATAAATTGTGTATCATTAACATACATATACATGACGTAACTATTAAAAGTGAAATGAAAAACACAACAACAGGATATATCAACAGATGTCACAGACATATGTGTGACATTGGCTAATACATAATTGCCACCACAGACGACAACCTTTCATGACAAGTAATTCCAAATAATTAACAATTAGCTCACACATTTACCCAGGAGGTGGACATTGGACTTGGTCCTATCAGCGTCAGTGCATCGCGAGCCCAAGTTCTGGACTTCACGTGGCCAATGTTTACTGTGATTAGTAATATTGTGGGAGGTCGAGGTCGGCCGGAGGTGGACCCGTGGGGTTTCTTGTTCCCCTTGACGCCGCTGGTGTGGGCGGCCATCCTGACGACGCTGCTGGTGCTGCCCCTGACGGTGTTCCTCCTGTCTTCATGTGTGACGATGGAGGCACCAGGAGGGTGGCTGGAGTATGTGTTCAGCTTCACAAGAATATTTCTACAACAAGGCAAGAAATATTTTGCTGAAGGGATCTGTTCTCTTGGAACATTAAAAGTTCCTCGATTTTAAAGTAAATTTTCCTTAGGTAATAGTTACGATAATGTCACACAGATTGTAATTATTTTATATATATTGCATTTATTATGATGCAATCTAAACTTGATATTGTTGGTCTGCATGATTTAAATTTATGTATGTAAATGTAAAAAATATTTTCAACCTCTTACCATCTTGAAAGATGCATAAATGGACATTTTTGAGCATTTATAACACGGAAAATAATTTTGTACCTGAATGGATTGTAAACACAACAATAAACGTAACTCTAAAATTACTGTACAGAAATTGACCTTGCCACGAGCTTGGCAAGGTCAGTTTTGACTGAGCGCTGCTGAAGCCTCACTGGTTGAAGACTCTTGGCTTGCGAGTGAGGCACCATTAGTTGAAGGTCGTTAACTTGCGTGTGAGGCACCACTAGTTAAAGGTCCTTAACTTGCTTGTGAGGCACCACTGGCTGAAGATTCTTAACTTGCTTGTAAGGCACCACTGGTCGAAGGCTCCTGGCTTGCGTGTGAGGCACCACTGGTCGAAGGCTCCTGGCTTGCTTGTGAGGCACCACTGGTCGAAGGCTCCTGGCTTGCGTGTGAGGCACCACTGGTCGAAGGCTCCTGGCTTGCTAGTGAGGCACCACTGGTCGAAGGCTCCTGGCTTGCGTGTGAGGCACCACTGGTCGAAGGCTCCTGGCTTGCTTGTGAGGCACCACTGGTCGAAGGCTCCTGGCTTGCTTGTGAGGCACCACTGGTCGAAGGCTCCTGGCTTGCTTGTGAGGCACCACTGGTCGAAGGCTCCTGGCTTGCTTGTGAGGCACCACTGGTTGAAGGGCATTTGGTTGCTGTTCTTACAAAATAAGAATCACGTTATCTTGCCTCCGATGTTCATTGGCCTCTTTAATGACCAGCTCTTTGGAACAGGTACTGGAACATGTTTCCAACTTCTTGATTATCACAGTTGGACGAAAAATTAATTTGCATGCCAACAGAAGACATAAATAAATTGCATTTTGTTGTTTTTGATGTTGGTTCCTCGTTGTCATCTTCGACCTCCTTCTTTTCACCAACCTCACCAGTAACAGACTGGAGTATCTCTTCTTAGCTCATCAAACCATATCCTGTGTCGTTGGCCTATTTTCTAGCCATTCAATCACATCCTGTCTTTCTAAATTTTCACAAGCATTTCTGAAAAACTACCGGATAACCAAAATATTCGAAAAACTAGTAAGCGAGCTCATACAGTAGTTGTAGATTAAAAATTAGAAAAAAGTGCAAGTCCCATAGGGTTAAATTAGAAGATATGTGCAATTCCCATACAGTGTGTAGTCTTTATTAGGGAATAGTTATAGACTGAAATGAGAAGTGCAGTGCAAATTCCATAGGAATTTATTGTGAGTGTTTTTCAGAGGATATATGGAAATCCTGTGGAATGTGTGTAGTTTAATGAGAAGATATGTACAAAACCCATAGACTTAATTGTCCTTGAGCGAATTGAAGGTCAACCCCCCCACCCGGGGTGGCCTCACCACTACACCAACCCGCCCCCCCACCTGGGATGACCCCACCACCGTTCCTGACGCCAACAGCCTGACAACCTTCCCTCGCCTACTTGGGAAGCCTGACGCCAGCCTGCAGAGGGAGGTGTTAGAACTTCCAGCTCGCATGAGTAAAATAGAAATTACCGTCAATAAGCTCCAAGAAACACTTATGTGGGGTTTATATTACACATATGCAGCCAATCAAATTACAGTAATAGCTACATACATTGATGAGGTTCCTTCTCTTATAGTACAGCAGGCTAGTCCACCAGGTATAACTAGAGTGTAGACACCAAATTATCCTCTTTGAGGTAGCTTCTATCACCCAGTAACTGGTGCACATAATCTTGCATCCTCGTCTTGACCTGTCAAAAGTGCGCTAGCTGTGAAGCCAGAATCCTATATATGACAAGCTATATCAGAGAAAACACTATACAGTACATGGAACATTAAAGACCTGGCTTAATTACCTTTAGTATGAGGCGATTTCGCGTTCTAACCGGCTAACCCTATATCCTGACATTAATGGCCATAAATGAATGATAAACGGGTTTCGGATAGATACTTAACTTGTATTTGTAGACAGCGTGTTGACAATGGTACACCTTTGGGTTCCATAACACTACGTCCAAGTAAATTTAACAGGAGCCGAATTTGCTCCCGTGTGAGCCTCTGGTCTCATATAACAACAATGGCTGCCCTCCTTCCTCCACTCTGACGCCTGGCTTACATTGTCCAGATTTCAGAACGTGATAGAAGGGTCACATTTACTCTACTTTAATATTGATAATTAAGTTAATTTATATAAGATGTTTTTATGATGGTAAAGTCCAAAGACTAATGTATTTAAGAATAATTCCCAGCAGAATAGCTGGTGAATTATAATGGTATGTGGTGATGATATCCCGTTTTCTTTAGACGGTAATTCCACTACAAGTTACGTTTTCTATGGGTAACTTGTTGGTAATACAGCAGAAATATTATCTGTCTGTATGATTATTATTAAATGGTGTCGGATTTTCCGACATAATTCCCCAGGGGCTGCTCACGGGTCGAAGTCCTAATTAGAACAGACGAACACCGATACTCCTCCATCGAATTATTACATTAATTTGATGTTAGTAGTTATTAATCACACATTTGTGTGTCTGTTCGTACAGGACGGATGTCCCGTACTAGAGTTGCAGGGGTTAGAAGTCTAATGCGATTTCATTTCCCTGTCAACTCTTGAAAGGCTAATATTCAAGCCTTATTACATATTATTTAACCCAGAAGACTGAATGTGATCAAGTACTACAGTCAAGTATGATTCAGGGACTGCAGTGAGATCAGTGACATTAGATATAACTTGAAGTTTCTTCAGGTAACTGGTCACTGATATATAAACACTGAGGCCCATGGAATACATCTTGATTAAATAATAAATGTATCAAATCAGTCATCAGATTTATTAGGGTTTAATTTAGTTAATTGATTCAGAAGATTGAATAGCTCATCATTAAAGTAAAGTATGGTTCTGAGACTGCAGTGGGTTCAGTGACATTGGTCGCAGTGACTTGTAGCTGTTTTAGGCTACTGTTCACTGATTTGCCACTGAGGCCTCATGAACTCATCTTCAGCTTTAAATGATGATACTAACATCAACCTCTGTTACTATAGTCAGCTGTAATCTCCTTAGTATAATGCTACTGGAGAAATATAATCAGCTGACAAATTTAGATCTCTACTGGTATTGTTTATCTGCAGGCATAGGTCTCCTCAGGCTTGATACTGGGCCTGAGAGTAATTTACCTCCTGCAGACTTTAACATGGTTATGCCCTGATATTTAGTAGGGCTACCGATGAATTGATGGTAGTAGTCTGTCCCCACAAGGACAGCTATTTGGCATTTGATTTGCTCAAATTTACCTGCAGCTGCTTGATAATAGCTTTCCAGGTCAGCATAATCAACTTGAGATTGTTGTGACAAATCTTCACATTTCTTGATCTGTCTTGTTAAGTGGCCTTTGAGACCTGCAAGGGTTCTTTTCATTCTCCCTGCATTATCCATACTGGCTCGTTGGTAAAGCCTTGTGGGGCTTGTACTTGGGCTGCTCATAATACTGAACAAACACTAATGGTAGCCTAGGGTAAATTCTGCACTCACTAGGCCATAATCCTACCTCTACTAGAGGTTAGCACTTAAAATTAATACACATTATATATATACAATCATACACACTAATGATTTGAGTGATAAACCAGTGTCACTGGAAGTACCTTTAGGTTAGCTCTTCTATATCACCCTAGGATGGTAGAGACACTAATTAATCACTCAAAGGTGTAATGATCATAAGTAATTTATTATATATACAACTCAACTCGAGTTGATAAAATTACACCCAAAATAGGGTCTGGACCATTCATTAATGGTGTTAGGTTGTTCAATATAGTACAACTGACTATTGTAATAATGGGACTAGGATGAACGATAATAGTTCAACTAGTCAATGGTTAATATCCTACCCTGTTGTGGGTTGGCAATTAGTAAATATTATACTGTGATCACTAGTGCAATTTATATTAAATAATTCTCTATCTTGGAGAAATAATATACACAATTATTGATAATAGCCTCTTAATTAGCCTCTATGAAACTTCTAATATTATCTAGAAGTATTAAATGTTATTAGTGACCTCGCGAAATAAAGTCCACAAAATTCGTGGATAATCTCTCGCGAAATGTAACACCACGAAATCCGTGAACAATCTCGCGAAGACACAGTCACTAATTTGGCTGGATTCTATATTAGCGCTGTCATTTCACGAAATAACACGCCACCAAATTTCTGTGGGTGTGCATGAAACCGCTGACTAAGGCTGATCTGGGCTGAGGGAGGCTCCTGAGCTCCCACGAGGCAACGCCGCTGTCTTGACTGGCTTTGTTTAAATAACACTGCACTAGTATATTTAATGAATCCACTGGTTTGGTTAACTGGTTCATCCGGTACTAAGATGACCAAATGTGGGTTCAAAGGATCAAATAATCCGTCATCCGGTTCGAAGATGACCAAATAATGTGGGGTTTATATTACACATATGCAGCCAATCAAATTACAGTAATAGCTACATACATTGATGAGGTTCCTTCTCTTATAGTACAGCAGGCTAGTCCACCAGGTATAACTAGAGTGTAGACACCAAATTATCCTCTTTGAGGTAGCTTCTATCACCCAGTAACTGGTGCACATAATCTTGCATCCTCGTCTTGACCTGTCAAAAGTGCGCTAGCTGTGAAGCCAGAATCCTATATATGACAAGCTATATCAGAGAAAACACTATACAGTACATGGAACATTAAAGACCTGGCTTAATTACCTTTAGTATGAGGCGATTTCGCGTTCTAACCGGCTAACCCTATATCCTGACATTAATGGCCATAAATGAATGATAAACGGGTTTCGGATAGATACTTAACTTGTATTTGTAGACAGCGTGTTGA